AAGGACCGACTTCATTCCCTTCATTTCAAACTAAGGTCGCTGGGGAGGGGGGGGAAGAGAATATTTCGGTTTAAGTGAAGGCAAACTCGGGGCACGGGGCACGCACGGCTAGGGACCGTCGTTCCAGACGTATCCGTTTGTATCCCGTTGAACACCTTGCAGGTAAAGAGAAGGGAAGCGGAGATGGGGAATTAAGAACCTCAAGAAGCCGCTTGCCTCGAAATGGCCTCCAAGCCAAGTTAAGAAGCCTCGTCCCTTTCTGGCCTTGAAAAACGGCGGTGGCCTGCAAAACGCCGGATCTTCTGCGTGCTCGTCAGTGAACCGACTCGCTCCGGACAGAGCCAGCTTTTTCCAAACCCTTAGGATCGCCGTCGCTCGGACTTCTAAGCCTGCGTTACAAGCTCGGTCCTTCAGCTCGACGGGACCAGCGGCCCAGCTCTTTCCTCCCCTCCCCCGTCCCCTCCCTTCGTGGTTCTCCTGAATAGCAAGCAAGCCCCTTTGGCTCCGAGGAAGATGTAAGGCACGGTTCCCTCCCGTCTCTCTCTCTCTCTCTCTCTCTCCTACTACCAGCATCAAATGTCCTGCTTTGCAATTCGCAGGCCGATTCCGCTATTCCTCAAATCGAACTAATTTGTCCGATCTTGTTTACAACCTGATAAAATATTTCCACCCTCCTTCCCGCCCCTCCCCCCTCAAATTAAGTTTTTATCGTGCTGCTGGTGTCTCAGTGCAATCTAGGTTGTCTGGGAAATGAGGAGGGTTGCTAAGAAGTGGCGCGATCAGAGAACCTAATCAAAATCTGGCCTGATTAAACTGGATGGGGGACCACCAGGGAATTCTAGGATCACAGACTAGACACAATGGCCAAGCCCCTTCATATTGTTGACACCAAAGCAAAGAGCTGACCGGAAGCCCAGCTCGACCGGAGTGTGAGTTTGCGTGTATTTTTCTATTTTCGGAAACTGGTATTAATTAGCACCTTCTTCCTGTCTTCAGCAACCACTACTAGGAGACATCTGAGGCAGAGGTCTCCCAACTTGGCCAACTTGAAGACTTATGGACTTCAACTCCCAGAATTATGCTGGGTGAGGGATTCTGGGAGTTGAAGTCCACAAGTCTTAAAGTTGGCCAAGTTTGGGGACCTCCTGATCGAAGGTCTCCGCGCGCAAATCTGTTCAATCTGCGGAGCCCCTGGTGCATTCAACGTGCTGCGCTTTAAACTAAGGGGCATTTTTTCCCCCGTGCTCTTCCTTTCCCTCAATTCATCCCAAATTCGTGGGTTCCCAGGATTCTAGACATAGGAGTGCAGCTGAAAGGAAGTCCAGACAAAAGTGCTAGAGAAAGATCTTTGCGGGTGGCTTGGCAAACATCTCGGAGCTGGCTGCTAAGTTTTTTCCTCTCCTCGGTGGGTGGGTGGGGATGGGTGGGTGTCTAAAATATCTGCAAGATAAGAGAATCTCTGAAAGCAAAGCTCTACTCCAGAGCCCCCACCTTCACTGCCCCCCTGGCCGATCCGACTCAGATGGAAGAATCCTGACGTTCCATAGGGCACTTTTACTCTGATTGCCGAGTTTGAAGTATTGGTTTAGGCAAGATAAATGAACGGAATGGTCTGCCTTCGCTACGGGCACCATCCGGGAAAAGCTCCTTTTGGGGTTAACAACACCTTACAAGTTCACCCTTAATGTAGAGCTGCGAACTCTTTAACTGATCTGGTGAAGCAGGTTGGAGACCTTAAGCATAGAGCAGAGGTCTCCAAACTTGGTGACTTGAAGACTTGTGGACTTCAACTCCCACAATTCCTCACCCAGCATAATTCTGTTGAAGTGCACAAGTCTTCAAGTTGCCAGGTTTGGAGACCTCTGCCTCAGATGTCTCCTAGTGGTTGCTGAAGACAGGAAGAAGGTGCTAATTAATGCAAGCTTCAGGAAAATACACGCAGACTCACACTCCAGTTGCGCTGGATTTTCGGTCAGCTCCTTGCTTCGGTGTCAGCAATATAAAGGGCCACTGTCTCTAGTCCGTGATCCTTGAATTCCCTGGTGGTCCCCCATCCAGTTGAATCAGGCCAGACTTTGATTAGGTTCTCTGACCACACAACTTCTTAGCAACCCCCCCCCCCCCCCACCGCATTTCCCGGACAACCCAGATTGCACTGAGGCACCAGTGGAATTGTACCAGCAGCACCATAAAAACTCATTTTGGGGAGGAAAGAAAAGGAGAAATATTTTATCAGCCCACAAGTCTTAAGGTTGCCAAGTCTGGAGACCCCTGGCATAGAGCCTCAGGCTGGGTCCTCCGCTAACTCTCTGGATTGCCTTGCTTCTCCCCTGCGGTTGCTTGGGATAAAGTCTAAAGTCTCGCTTACCCCATAACTATGTCTTATATATGTGATTCAGCGCATCCTCCTTGGACAGCAATGCACCGACGAAAACATTGGCTGTGTTCATACAACCTGTTAAAAACAGAGCATTTGATGAGATCTCTCCCCTCCCCCCCCAATTCCACCAATATAGTATGGCTCTAACTTGATGGTCAGATTAATCACAAGCTAGGATTTAACCTAGCTTCTTTCACCTAATTCGAATTCACCCAGAGGGTGTATTTTGAAATATAGGACTACGTTGAAAGAGTAACCTAGCTGATTCGGAAGAAGTTTTAATGCTCCAGTTCAACTTTGCACCTTATTTAGTGGAAAGTCGGGGGGGGGGGGCGTTAAACGAGGAGTTTAGTGGGGCCTTCGCGATAACAATACTAGACCAAGAGTGTGGGTGTAAACAACTTGGAACCAATGGATTAACTTTCGAGGAAACGCGTTTAGAACCGGGATTACTCTTTCGTGTTTTTAAACTGCAGAACCAATTTTTTTTTTAGGCAAAAGAGAGGCGAAATCGCTAAGAGGGTTAAAATATTGCTGTCCTTGACGAAGTGGGTTTTTTGTTTTTCACTGAACCAAGGTTGAAATACATCTGTACGTACAAGATCTTGCCCAAAGAGAATCCATTCCTTTTTTTTATATAATTGTTACGCATTTCACCCAATGGAAGAAACCATTTTGCCATCGGCCATTTCGGAAACAAGCGAGGGGGGGGGGCACTGAAACGTTTGTTCTCCGACTGTTTTTCTCACGCTTGTTCACTGATCCGAAAACATATTTATTTGGTAAACGAATTGGTCCTCGGTCAGCAGCGTCCTACGACCGAGTCATTGAGGCGTGTACGCCTCGACACACGGAACTGCGCAGTTCGGGACCCCGAACATCAGTAATCAAATGAGACCAAATGAACTTACTTCCAAGTGTAAGTGAGCCCGCGAACGTGGCCGAAGTAATTCTGCCGGAATCCATTGGTCGCGCTAGCTTTAAATATGGACCTGTCAAGATTTTGCTTAACATCCTAACTAGAAAGAACGGGATTATCCGTTCCTTTTCAGAGACCGGCTTAAAAAAAAATATGACAGGGCGTAGATCAAGAAAGATGCAAAGAAATTCCCACATAAGAAAATTTCCATCGGAATGGGAGGAATCTGGCTACTTAAAAAGTATTCCACCCAGAAACGTGTTGTGTTTTTTTTAACCAACTTCGGGGAATACAGCTGCTGTCCTTTCTCTCCTCCCACACGGCCAGTTCACGCCTTTATTTATCACTTCCCGATACGCAAAGGAGGGCCACGCTTCGCATATGGTAAAAAAGAGGCTTTGGGAAAAGCTGGTTAAATTTAGCGGTAGAACATGGGAGACAGATGGGGAAAAGGAAAATTCTGCCAAAAAAGAGTTACTCAAGGGAAACGGCCTACCTTCTCGATTTGGTCAACCCAAACAACCCTGTTTGGTTTGGTTTTTTTGGTGGTGGTGGTGGTGGTTACTTAAAAATAAAAATAAAAACGGTCATCTGCTGCAAATAATTGCTCCTAAACCTGCCTGCGTTGGAAATCCCTTGCCGGCAACTTCGTCGGCTTCAACTGAAAAGCGCTTGGGCCGGCTGAGCGAATCAAAGCATCCGGAAGAATTTTCAAGGCTACTCCGTGAGATCAAGGCAAAGCAAAATGTGAGCCAGCCTCGCACCATTGGTAGAGGCGTCCCTTTACCTTTCAGCAAGTCTAGTTGAGGAGGGGAGGGTTGGGTTGAGAGGCGGAATCGGACCCTTCAAAATGTCTCTGGATCTTTCTGGGATGCCCGAGGCCTGGAAGGGAATTTTGCCAGCTCGCGCGTCCTAAACAGCGGGTCTTCTACAACTCAACGGCGCTTTCTCTCCGAAGCGAAGTTGCCCGAGGCCAGCAAGCCCAGATGGGAAGCCTCTCCAGCAGCTTCGGCCAGTGGCCAGACCCGCAGAATGGTCCGAAGCCAGCTGGCGGGGTTGAGCTTGGCGAAGCTGAACCCCGTTCCTTTGCGGAGGGGAGGGTGTGTGTGTGGGGGGCTTTCTGCCCAGGTTTCGGCCTCCCCGGATTTCACCTTCCGAAACCCGGACGGTCCAGTAACAGTTCGCCCGAGGGGGGGTGGACCTCAAAGCATCTCCCAGCGGCGTCGGGGAAGCCGGAGAGCGGGCCGAAGCTCTGCCTGTCAGTCTCGGGCGGGGCGGGGCTTCCGCGAATCCCGCGGGGCAGGCTGCGGAGGGGACCCGGGGCGGCCCCACAATGCCCGCGAATGGGGGTCCCGGATCAACCTGAGGAGCACCGCCCCAAAGAACGGCGCGTCATCGCAAGGAGCCCCTCCGCCAGAAGAGGACTCCTTTTGTCTCCCGACTGCTGGCAAACCCTATAAAAGCCCCTCGCCTTCGGTGGCGAGCTTTGATCAAGCCCAGGCGCGTCCGGCCGTCGGTCGGGTCTCCCGGAGAGGGAGAGGGGAGGGAGGGCTGCAGCATCCCCCGGCCCCCTTTTTTCGGACTCCCCGTCGATTCCTGGACAGAGGCGTTGAAGTCCCCCTGCTTTGGCGGCTGCCTTGGGTGGCTCTGCTCCTTCCCCGAGTAGGGAAGCCTCGCCTTCCTTCTCCCCAGCCCGAGACCATGAATTCGGACTCCAGCTCCGTCTCCAGCAGAGCTTCCTCGCCGGATATGGAAGGGATGTACTTGAGGGATCATCACCAGCACCACCACCACCACCACCACCACCACCACTCGGTGTCTTCCACCCAGAACGAAGTGGGCCAGAAGGGCTCGGCCGAAAGCCTTTCCCGGAGTGGCGCCAAAGGCTCCGCGGGCGAGAGCAGCAAGTACAAAATCAAGAAGCAGCTCTCGGAGCAAGATCTCCAGCAACTGCGGCTGAAGATCAACGGGCGGGAGCGGAAGCGCATGCACGACCTCAACCTGGCCATGGACGGCCTCCGCGAGGTGATGCCCTACGCCCACGGGCCGTCGGTGCGGAAGCTCTCCAAGATCGCCACGCTCCTCCTGGCCCGCAACTACATCCTGATGCTGACCAGCTCGCTGGAAGAGATGAAGAGGCTGGTGGGAGAGATTTACGGCGGCCACCACGCCGCCTTCCACTGCGGGACTGTGGCCCACGCCGCCGCCGCCGGCCACCCGGCCCACGCCGCCGGCGCCGTTCACCCCATCCTGGGCGCCGCCCTGGCGCCTCCCAGCACCGCTTCCCTGCCCGGCCTCGGCGCTCTCCGGCCGCCCCATTCCTTGCTCAAGACGCCGCCCGCCCCGCCCGCCCTTCAGCTCACCGGAGGCGGCGGCGGCGGCGGAGGGGGCGGCGGAGGCTTCCAGCACTGGGCCGGCCTGCCTTGCCCTTGCAGCATCTGCCAGGTGCCCCCGGCCCCGCATCTGGCCGCCCTTCCCACCCCTACGGCCGGCCTGGCCCGCCTCTCCACGGAAGCCAAGGACTTGCTTAAGTAAGCGGCCGGCAGGCGGGAACTGGACAGGTCCGGCGCCCAGGAAGACCAGCCGGACCTTTTGCCGATGGGGAGTGGTGAGCCGAGTCCGAGAAACTCATCCTCCGTCCCCGGGGGTGGGTGGGGGTGGGTGGGTGGGTGGGTGGGGATCTCGTGTGCATGCCTCGTCGTCTCCTCTTCCCCAAACCGCCTCCGTCTTCTTCTCGCCCCCGCTTCCCCGCCTTCCGCCCGGCCGGCTTCGTCCCCCGAAGTCCGTCCGCGGCGGCAACGCGGGCTGGCATCCAGCCTCCAGGGGGGAAGGAAGAGCGGGAGCCGAACAAGACTTTGCAAACCAAGGTGACGCTTGGACTGGAATGGGGTGGGGGTGGGGGGAGAGAAATTCGCCTTTTCTTTTCCCGGGAGGTTAGCTTACCGACCCTTTGGCTCAACCACACCGGGTTGGGACGAGCACAGGCGGGGAAAAGGGAGAGAGAGAGAAAAAGAGAGAGGAACCAGTCCGGAAGCCTCCCGGGCAGAATTGGCTGGCTGGGAGAGAAACTCAATTGCTTTTCTCTGCCTCCCGGACTTGAACTTGTTCGCAGCTGTAAAAGTCGCGGCGGGCGCTTTTGCAACGCTCTTCTCCATTCATTTGGGGAGGCGAGGTTTTCCAAGGTTTTTTTTTTTTTTCCCTGGATGTGAATTTCTTTCCCACGTCGGGGTGGGGTGAGGTGGGAGGGGGCCCCGTGTCTTATCTACGCAAAGGCTTTGAGCCACTGCAAAACTTTCCCGGGAGTCACTCTCAACCGAGCAGCGTTGGGAGACTTCCTTCGGAGGAAGCGGGTGGGGGGGGGTTGCCTAGAGTTGGCCCACTGGAGCTATCTAACAAGTTGCAGCGTCGGAGGGGCGGCGGGGGTGGAGATTTAATTCCAAGAAAGTTAGCCAAAGCTCAGCCTGTTTGTTGCGCCTGTTTCCACGGAGAGAGAGGCCTAATGGAGCTGTTGGGCTCTGTGGTTGATTGACATTTACGATCAATTTAATTGCTTTCGGGACTCCCAAGAGTTTCAGGTTAGCAAACGCGCCCACCTGAGCAAATTGGGAGGGGTGTGTGTGTGCAGAAACAGCTTTGAAAAATAAGAGCGGGTAAAATATTCCTTCCCGGGCAAAACATTTAGCCGAGTTTGGAGGGGTTTTTTTTTTTAGGGGGGGGGGGGGGTCAGCTACACGACGCTCTTTCTCGAGCGGTGTGTGGGGGCGGGGGGGGGGGGTTGTTTTGTTGGGGGGGGGGGGGGGGAGGAGGTGGGTGAATGGGTGTCTTTTTATTCTCCTTCGTTGCCACTGATGCCCGTACCCCCCTTTCGGCGAGGAGTTCTGGAGCGCTCGTAACTTGCACTCTCTTTTGTGACGTTTGATCTGAATGAAGGGTTTTGGCAGCTCGGCCGAACCTGTAGCCAACCGGTTTGGGGCCGAACCTGGTTACCTGGCAGTCCTGCGTGCTGCGATCGGTCGAAAACTCTGAACTCGCTTGATTCCACCCCCCACCCCCCCTCAAAATCTGGGCCGCTCGTTCCTAGAGAAATGTTTCTTTCTCCCGAACTGCCGCTGGGTAGTTTTTTCTTGGAACAAAGAAAGTGGATGGAAAACTAAGAGAAACAAAACGAAACAAAACATCTTCCTGCGTTCGGAAAAGAAACCGCGCGCCACAACCGCACGTGAAAGGACTAGGCGAGCGCCATCACATCTGCCTGGACATCTTCTGCGCCCTCGAGCGGCTCCCCTGTTTTCCTGAGTAAACGGACTCCCCCCCCCCCCCCCCACCCCCCCCCTCCCCCCCCCCCCCCCGTTCCTTTTCACCCTCTGCATGCAAGCTCGGATTGGAAAGTCTCTGGTTGTCCCTTGCTTTCTCCTTCTGGGCGCTTGCTTGAAACTATTTTGTTAAGGGCCTCACAGACAATGACGGTGTCTTTATTTTTTATATATTCCTGAGAACTATCGATATATTTATTATTACCGAGCCAGTGTTTCTGGATGAAATTTCAAATTAAAACAACAACAACAAAAAAAGCAAAGACACACGGGGTGTTAAAAGTTTGGAGTATCTTTTCCTCCTCCTCTCCTCTTTTTCTTGACCTGAAATAACTTGTGTGAGGGGGAGGGAGGGAAGGGGGGGGACGAGTTGGTATGGATTGGCATGAGAACCAGTGAAAACCAAGGGGGGGGGGGGGGGGGGGGGGGGGGAAGGAAACTTGCAAAGGGTGGGCTACTTTCAAGGGTTCTAAAATCAGTTTTTTTTGCTTCTGAGAGAATATGGGAAAGATTAGATTACCTAACCCAGGGGTCTCCAACCTTGGCAACTTTAAGACTTGTGGACTTGCAAAGCTGGCTGGGGAATTCTGGGCATTGAAGTCCACAAGTCTTAGAGTTGACAAGGTTGGAGACCTCTGACCTCACCGATTGGTTGGGTTCATTATGGATGAAGAAAGTGGGGGTTCCAAAGGGTGCTTACTTAAAAGCAGTATCCGTTAAATGTTACCTTTAAAAAGATGCACAATTGTTTCCATCTTTCAAACAATCAAGTCTCTTTTTAAAAAAAACACACACACAGTAATATATTGCAAATTTTTTCAACTGAATCCAGGAACCTGAAAATTGCAGGTTTAGAAATGAGCAATAAAACTACTAACCGCCCCACACCCATGCATTAGGTAAGCCAAATTATTTGAAGTCTTTCCTTTTGAAAACACGAATTAAATTCCTAATATCCATAAAATGACTTCAGCGCCTCTGTACAATGGTCAGGCTTGCTTAAAAACAAAACAAAACCAATGCCCAGGAGCCAAAGGAAGGTCATAAATCTCTGGCTATCCAAAAAGAAAGAAACAAAGAAAAGGCTGTGGCAAAAAGCAGTTCATTCAAAATCGTGCATTTGGAACCGTCTTTGCTGAATGTAAATCTTGAATCGTTGTATTGGTAATGTTAACTTAAATACCTAAACCTATTTCAACATTTCTAGTCTTTACACTACGAATCTCTTCAAAACAAGTAAAAACAAAAACAAACAAAAAAAACCCACCCAAAAGGTACATTCTGAGAGGTCATTCTAATTTAAATTTAGCTTCCAGGAGGTTCTCTGAAATATTCCTTGCCATTTCCCATTTTCCCCAGGAATAGTTCACCCTTTTCAATGACACTGCTTGTTGGTGGTGACTGTGGAAGTTACAACTCTGGACAGGAAGGATTGAAAAAGAAAAAAAAAATCCTGGGAATGAAAATTAGTTGCTGGGTTCCTGTCACCAACCGAAACACCTGAGCCTCTTCTGCTGCCCCCAAAGTCTGCTGCCATTCTGCAGAAAACTTCAGTCCCCCTCCCACAAACACTCCAACCCCCCCTCCATGTTTTTGCTAAGGAGAACTTACTCTGAATCCCCACTTGTTTTTGTTGTTTGCCCCTGGAAATGCAGCGAAGCAAAATGAGGAACTCCTAATCCTTGGAAATGGTGTACACACTTAATTGTGTAAACTCATTTCAGAAGCTTGTATTCTGGGATAATCCACCCACCGAGAAAAGTAAGAGGTAAGAAACTTAGAATTCAAGTTAAGGTAATGTACAAATATACCATTATAGGTTTTTCAAGCTGGAATTACTGAAACTATGAGAGAAGAAAAGAGAGGGGGGGTATTTGTTTATTAGATGGGGGTGCTGCGATCAGCTGTTCGCTGCTTGGATTGTGAGTCCTGCAAGCATCCGGTTCTACCCAAAGATACAAGTCTGTAAAAGGGATGGCTAAACCAATTGGGTCCTTTTCCAAGCATTTTCCAGGATAAAAATATTAAAGGCATAGAGTTGACAAGACGACAAGGTGACAAAAAGAAAGAGAGAAACGTTGACTTCCACATTTCTCCACTAAAAAGGTGGAAATAGGGATGTCTTTTGATTGTCAAACGCTTCCAGTTGCAGGAAGTGAAACTAAGCAATTATCTTGGACGGTGGGTTGCACTGGAGAAAATATCTTTTTCTTTCTCCTTCATCTCCTCTATCACACCTCCTTTCCAAAGAAAAAGAAAGAAAAGAAAGGGGCAGAAAGAGAAAAAGAGAGGAACCCGAATCATTGGTTTCAGTGATTAATACGCCTGTCTTTGTGTGTTTATGGAGAAAAAAAACACTCACTTGTCTTCTTTATAACAGGAATTTATTTCCTGTTTAGAAGCAGCTAATTTGATGGTTATGCTTCAATGATTGTTCGTTTATGTACACACTGCCCTACGGTTCCTCACTAGCTCACTTCGAAAGGCTGACCACAAATACCAAATACCACAAATACGTTTGGAGATGACGTTCACTTCCTTGGCGTTCACTGTAAGGGGGGGGGGGGGACAGCTAAATTTTACCCGCTCCCGACAGCGCCTCCTTCCTTTCTGCAGACTGAAAGGCGGGTGGATGCCCACCGAGGACTCCTGATCCAAACCACTAGGTGTGTACCAGTCAACTTATGTATGTAGGGACTTTAAAAAAGGGAAGGGGGGGAGAAGGAGGTTGTGTGTGTGAGTGAGTGAGAGGTGGGGAGAGGGAGAGAGAGGGGGAGGAAGATGGTTTAATGGGTAGTTGGAGGCAGGAGAGTGTTTATTTATTTGTTTGCTTAGACTTAGAAGCCAGTCTAACCACAGATTCCAGGACTTTGCAACTGAATGAGAAATGGCTGGTGACCTTCTCCCGCTGCACCATAGAGTATCTTAACTTACTGTACCTCTGTATGGTTTGCCAATTGCACAGTGGCAGATAAGAAAGCACTCCAGAGGGTTAACTTCGTTGCCCAGAAGATCATTGGTTGCCCTCTCCCCTCTTTGGAAGAGCTTTATAGCTCCCACTGCCTTAAGAAAGTTCAAAACATTCTCAAAGATCCATCTCATCCTGGGCACCCCCTTTTTGAACTATTACCATCTGGCAGACGGTATAGAATAATAAAAACAAGGACAGACAGCTTCTATTCCAGGGCAGTAGCTCTTTTGAATTCTGCTGTATACTGCAAT